CTACTTGGCTCAATCCAGACGGTTGTCGTGCTGGTCCACTAGGGAGACCACACTGTAGTTGCAGCCGTCGTGTGTGCTGACGCGCCAAGTACACTGCAGTCGTTAACGCCGGACAGAAGGGGAGTCACACCACCATATGGAAAGAAGCGTAAATGGGTGAAGCATAGTTTACTGTAAAGCTACGTCTTAGTGTTGCTTATCTTGGCGAAAGCCGAGTAAATCAGCATGAAGTTTTAACATCTACTCTCGTGTAATGGAAATCATTCACCCGCTATATTGCTAAATGTACCTGATTTTTCATATCAACATAAAAATATACCGGGATAACCTGGCTTCTCTTGAGACTCCCCTGCTTCACGTTGACGTGATTGATTGGTTACAAGGTAGTTTGTGACGTCAGAAACACCAGCGGTTTCAAACCACGTTTTTGAGACTGTCTTTGGTTCACTGCAGTTTTAAGGTGAAAATACTCAGCAGTGGTGGTGACTTATGAATTTGCAGATGGTTTGTCAGTATATTAAAAATACCACGTACTTATAAACAACGTTAAAAACTCTATTTTCACCAGGGGGTCTTTAAAACCTATAATAAATAATCCGAATGTTTGGAACTTTAGCAGAACATTCAAAAATAACATTTTCAAAACTTCATGACAACAATAGAAAAACGATGGGAATGTTCTCAGAACATTATTTTTAGCTGGGATGTTTCAACAGCATCTTCGTAAACCGATGCTGTTCATTGCTCTCTTGCACAATAAGATTATTATTATGCAGTCTAATTATGTAAATGTGCAACGACTCTATTAATGAGCCCAGTATCAGTCTTTATCCTTTATCAGATGCGTACAGCCTATTGTTGGGACAGTCCTGTTCGTATCCTGTTAGGAGTGTCTGCACTAATTGGCTCGCTTATAAGAGAAACCTGTGGGAGACTGGTTTCGGATTGTCAGATGTGTAGAACAAACAAACAGCAGAGCCCGGCACGGCACAGAAATAGCTGGAAACAAGCCGTCCCTGAGGAGCTTTCAGCACAGCCACCAGGAACAGCAGAGACCAGATGAAAGCTGGGAGAGATTCCCTGTCCAACATCAGAACGTGTTGACGGAGGGCTTGGGGATTTAGCCTCTCGCGCAGTCCACACTGTGAAGGGGTTAATAGATGTTCGTTTCCAAAAAATATCCTTCCTCTTTGGGAATGGATTAGAAGAGCTTTTGATACAAAAATGCCCCTAGTGAGACAAAAACAAATTGGTAAAACTGCCTTTGTTCCTTCATCTCTGAGACAAGACCTCTGCTCAACAAACGGTTGTATAAATTTGTTCTAAATGAGTTTTATCTGTCTCATAGCAACACTGTCTGTCTGTCTCTCTGTTTGTGTATCTATCTATCTTTTTGTCATGTTATCTATCTATCTATCTATCTATCTATCTATCTATCTATCTGTCTGTCTGTCTGTCTGTTTGTCGGTTGTTCTGTCTGTCTGTCTATCTATCTATCTATATATATAGATATCTATATAGATATCTATCTTTTCTGTCATTCTATCTATCTAACTATATATCATTTGATCTATCTGTTTGTCTGTTATTCTGTCTATCTATCTTTCTGTCATTTTATCTATCTATCTGTCATTTTATTTATCTATCTGTTTGTCTGTCATTCTGTCTATATCTATCTATCTTCTATCTATCTATCTATCTATCTATCTGTTTGTGTCTGTCTGTCTATATATCTATCTTTCTGTCATGTTATCTATCTATCTATCTGTCTGTCTGTTTGTCTGTTATTCTGTTATTCTGTCTATCTATCTGTCTGTCTGTCTGTTTGTCTGTTGTTCTGTCTATCTATCTGTCTGTTTGTCTGTCATTCTATCTATACCTTTCTGTCATTTTATCTATCTATCTGTTTGTCTGTTATTCTGTCTATCTATCTGTCTGTTTGTCGGTTGTTCTGTCTGTCTGTCTGTCTATCTATCTATCTATCTATCTATATCTATCTTTTCTGTCATTCTATCTATCTATCTTTTTCTGTCTGTCTGTCTGTCTGTCTGTCTGTCTGTCTGTCATTCTGACTGTATGTGGAGGTTTGTATCTTGTCTGTCATTCTATCTATCTATTTTTCTGTCATTTTATCTATCTATCTGTTTGTCTGTTATTCTGTCTATCTATTTCTATATATCTATCTGTTTGTAATTCTATCTATATATATATATATATATCTGGTTGTGTCTGTCTGTCATTCTATCTATCTATCTGTTTGTCATTGTATCTATATATATCTGTTTGTGTCTATCTATCTATTTATCTGTTTGTCGGTCATTCTGACTGTATGTGGAGGTTTGTATCTATCTTGTCTGTCATTCTATCTCTCTATCTATCTATCCATCCATCTATAGTATCCATCCATCCATCCATCCATCCATCCATCCATCCATCCATCCATCTATCCATCTGTCATTTTATCTATCTATCTGTCTGTCTGTCGTTCTGTGGAGGTTTGCAAATGCATAGTAATGCCCCGGTAACCACCCAGAACTACCTAGCAAGTGTCCACCTGTCGCTGTCTGTCTATCATGGCAATTTGTAATAGTTTGAATGTATTGACATTTTATATTTTTTTCCCATTACAATCCTAGGTTTGGGTTTTCTTCACTTTTCTTGTAACTTCTTACAATTTTTCTACAAATATTGAATGAAATCTGGCACCTAAAAACACCTTCAAGACATCAAGCCAAAATTCAATGTTCTTCTGTGTGAACTTTCCGTTTACTTTTGCAATACACTGTTAGCTCTTATGTAGTGTCTGTGCCTATTTATGGTGAAATATTAAAGTGTACCACTTAGACAAAACTTTCTCAACTGACCACCTGATCTCTATAGCTAATAAATAAACTGATCAATGAGCAATTCTCCAACAAAAGCTTACAATTTGTCGGCTGAAACTACATGAATTCTTCCATAATGACCACAGCATAATGGGGCTTGTATATGGTCCCTGCACAGCAGAGATAAATAGTTTGGTGGAGACGGTAGTTTATCAGGCCGTTCCACACAGTGCATGCGTTTCCCCCGCAAACCCCCACCCGCCATCTCCGGTGACCTATGTGGTCGGATGCTAAGAGCCGTTGTTGTCTGTGATGTGGCTGATCTGCATAACACTGACATTTACTGAATCAGAGATTCATGGTTCTGAAGCGCCCACATCCGGTGTCATTAATCGAGAGGACGTCTGAGCTTCTCCGTCGCGCTCGGGCGCAAGGTACATGCTCAGAGTTGACTCTCTCCAGTTAATTACAGTGACAAATGGCAGACGGGCCCCAAAAGTGCACCGTGCTGTTGAAAAAGTGACAGGCTCATTTTTGCATGTAAACAAATTCCTGGAATCATTGTAATCTAATTACTACCTGGAGCGCTCGTGCACATAGTGCAGCAAACAGCAGAAACACGGTGGCTGAGATGATTTTGTAAAACTTGCAAGATGTATGACATTCCATCATGTAATCAAAGTCAACAGTGATTACAACGTGCTTGGTTTCATGTCTTTGACATGTTCTATGTGTTGATGACTAGTCTATTTTTGGGCTACGGTTAGACATCTAATAAATTTTCACTGAAAGCCCAAATTTTGCCTTGTTTTAGCCTAGAGGTCAGGGCTGTGTTTGGACGGCTATTACACGTCTTTTAAACGCAACCTTTTTGCAATTCATTTTTGGTCTGTTCCGATTCCATTCAAATCAATTGGTTGCAAAAGACTTGTGTAATATAGTGCTCAAGTTTTGTCATTGTATGTAAAATAACAGTTTGGACATTGTTCTGTTGCATTTAATGAAAGAAAATATGGGGTCAGAACAACACGTTGAGTAGCCTAAATGATCAACTATTCCTTTAAACTGTACAAGAAACCCTCTGTTCTCACAATGGCCTTTGTATTTTTTTCCTTTGCATTAAATGAACACCCGCTTCGGATGTTATCACCCGATTGAATGGACATTATCAGTGGTTATCGGCCCATTCGTATGGGCCAGTAGGGCCCTACTGTGCCTCCTAGCAGGTGCAGTAGGTTGTTATCATCTATTCACATCGCTGATCAGCATCATACAGGAAGACTCTCGATCCAGTCCCCCAGGAATACATTCCGCCGCCAGACCTCAAACCTCCAGCGACTTTCAGGTAAAATTACAGAAAATTAAGACATTTTCAACTGTTCCTATTTAGTTTATGAGCTAAAAAAACATTTTTAAAAAACTGTTATATTAAAGCTATAATAAGGTAACATAAACGAGTTTAAACGAAATACCAGATATTGTTTTTATTGATTTTTTTTTTTCTTCATTTGCATGTACTGTATTTACCGGTCAAGCTAACATTACAGTTTACTACAAAAACGTTGTTTTTTTAATCGAAACAAAACTGTTAGTATTACTAACAATTTAGCTTGCCCCATGGCTAACAAATGAGTTAAAAAAAAAAGTTAGCAGATGAGGGGGAAAAACGATTTATTACACCGTGAGTTTCCTGTAAATTAGGCCTTTTAGCCTTAAAGGCGTTCGGTGTAATGACTAAGTTACACTGTACATATATTTTGTATCTGCTTCATACAAACATGCATTCAGGCAATATCATGCTCGTATATACCTACTGTAATAGTGATATCAGGTTTGTGGTAGCTCTATTTTGATTTATGTAAGCTAGCAACAACAGCAGGCTAACAAAAATGCATTACTTGAATTAACCTTGAACTTGAAACATAAAACCTATACACAGGTCTTTCTATCTGTCTGCTTATGTTTCTCTGTACTTAACTTTGTCCATCTCATTTTACAACTTTTGATTCCCAGATTAGGAAAAACTATTCCAAGATTGCAGTGGTAAGTTTGTTTATAATTTGTCCATATTGCATTATTGTAAATAAGGTTTTAACCAAGCTGCATGGATTTAGTGGGCTGATTGTGAAATATTTGTAAAGGCAAGTTTATATCCATTTATATTCCAGGTTGAAGATGGCTCAGAGAGGTACTTGTATTTACTAATCTAGAAGCCTAGGTGTGCAAAATCCACTCTTTCCCTCAGCATTATGTTTTTTTAAATAACTGGTTTATTACTGACTACCTTTTTTGTTGTTTCTTAACAAGAGCGAACAGAGATAAGGGACGATCAGAGAAACACTCTTAAATCCTTCTATAAGGAGGGAATGACAGGTGTTGGCTCGCCCTTGGTACAACAAGCTGTAGCAGCAACCGGTCTTGACATCTGTGTCATACAAGTAAGGGTTACTTGCTAAGTACTATTGTATAATAGAAGTAATTCATGCTGTATTACTTGTACTTTTACTAAATGGAATTATTTTTCTTTGGTGGGGGGTGGGGGGTGCGGGGGGCTGTCTAACGGGTTATAATCCCATGTCATTAATTTTGTTTACTGTCTTTCAGAACTGGATTGGAAATTACAAGAGATCCCAAAAAGGTTCTGAGACCCGGCCCTCAAAGCCAAAGTTTTACACCCGGGATTTGTCACCATACAACCTTTTTTGCAGGGATGTTCTCCGAAAGAAAGGTGAGAGGGACTGTTTGTCATATTAGAATTTCATGTTGTCAATTTTCATCAGTGGTTCACAAGGGTCATGAAACTAATGTTTAGTATACTATTTGGCAGGCACTTTACATGTAGAAATTACATAGATTGATATAAGTTGTTTGTTGATGTATTTACAAATTATTGTTTAAAAGGTGGATTTCTCAATCCAAGGGCAAACCGAGGTGTCAGACACATTTTCTCCAGACTGTAAAGTGTTAAGTTGACTGTGCATTCATTTTTCTTCAGGGACTATGAAGGATATAAAAGGCAGGTGGTCCACACTAGAGGAGAAGCAGAAAGACAAATATAAACAGGAAGCAGCAGCGCTGAGGGCACAAGGGCAAGATTTTAGCATTGAAATGAGGGAGCTCAAAATAAAAAAAAATCTGAACCAGCTGAAATTACAGGTTTGGAAAGAAGGGAACTTAAAGGCAAGGTCCATGATGTTTTTAAAATACATTTTTACAATATTGATTTAATTCCACTTCAACAACTGTTTGTGACCAATTAATTAGATGATCTATCACAAACAACATTTAGTAACCTGGTGAACATACAGGACTGAAAAACACCAAGCAGTCATTTCACAAGGATGAAGAAATGATTGAATGGTCATATGTCAATCAAAAACAGTTGGCATTGGTCCCTCCCCCAGACGGGTCCAAGCATTGCATGTTACTGTACTCTGGACGTGTGGTTTCGGGGCGAAGTCTGAAGAAAGGGGTTTGGACTTCTGAATTGTATAATTTCAAAATTTAGCTTGCTCAAGCTGTTTTTCAGAAACCTGGACCCTGCCTTTAATTTGATTTGATAAGTGGTATTGTTGTTGTAGATTTAAGGATTATTAACCACAAGTGCAAATGGAGCAGAACACAATGGCTGTTTGTGTTCATATTTTGATTCTTTGATGATTCAGCATTCACACCAATTATATTCTCCACATTTTTTCTGCACATCATTTAGACTCTTAAATATTAAATGTAATTTCCTTAAGCACTTATTTCTCACAATATTTTCACCCAGTAAAAGTGTTTTCATATAGACTGCCATGCCCTGTTATGAGTATTATGTTGGAATGTTGGTATGCATGTTGGATTTTTTTATTTAATATTCTTTTTTACCTGAAAATGGTAAAGGTGTCCAAACTTGAGGAGTTGGGTGTTGAGACGGCCATTTTATCTTTTGACCGACAAAAGTCTGGCCTAGAGGTCTACGAAGTCAGCAGCAAAGGGGCAGCTGACTTCCTTGACTCCACAGACACAGCAAACAACTTTGCACTGCACTTCAAAGGTGATACTGTTTTTATGAAAAACTACACAAATGGCTTGTAATAGTGCAAAGATACGTAATACGATTCTGTTAGATAAATGATATGGTTTGTCCTTACGTTTGCAGCCAATTCCTCTTGCCCTACCGACAGCACCACCCACAGCAACAAAGGTCAAGTCAATGACCTGGTTAAGAAAGTGCAGGACCTCTTCAATCAAAGATATAGTAAGCATATTTTCTAACTTTTTCTTAGGCAAATGTGAAAAAATGTATAAATATTTACATATATTGATAAGCTAATATGCCTCCATGAATCTGTGGCATTTTAAGTAACTTGTTAAATTGTTTACCTATAGCATACAATCTTACAAATTACGTTTACAGTCTATGCACTGATTATAAACAGGTAGGGAAGTCGGAATTGTCAAACTGAAAAATTGTGTGCATGAATGAGCATATTCATGTCTTTCAGAGGAGGCTGGAGGTTCTGGAAGGCTCCCTTACCAGGCGTTGTTAAACCGAGGCCTGACGGTAGTTGGACTGCCAAATGGCCTTGGTCTAAGGAAGCCATCTTTTTATGGAAGAAACCAATTAGATGCCATTTTGAAAGATGCTGAGCAGATTTCATTTGAAATTAGTGAGTCATATTTAGACTTACTAGTGGCAGTTGTATTTCTGCATGCTATTTCGCTATTTGAACACTGAGCGAATAATAAGGTAACAAAAATATTACAGTATTGTGCAGGGCCATTATAAACATCCCAAACTGATTTTTGTGTTTTGTTCCAGAATCAAAATTATAGTGGAACACCATTTTTAAGGCACCTCTCCAGATAGTCTTTACATAGTTGAATATGATTTTGGAGACTGTGATTGCCCATTACAGTGGTTTACATTTACAAACTATGAAATGAATAAATCTATTCCTTTCATTGTTGTAACTTATATTCCCTGTATGATACTGTAGGATTTTTTACTCCAGCAATTACGTGTCATGCATATCCTTCATACAGTAAGTGTACCTTTTTTTGCCTTAACATATATATAAAGCAGATGCGACACAATGCAGTCCAACTGGGATGGGAGAAGGTGTTCTTGAGGACATGGACCCAGAAGCCACGGCAGACAATATCCATACAAAGGAAGGATGCCAGTCAGTGGAAGAGTTACTGGAACCCATGTGTGGAAATGGTAATTATTTGTAACTGATTTCTTTTTAATGCCAGTGCCTACAACCCAAATGCGTTTTATTGGATTGAGATTATTGCACAGACAAATGCTCACAAAACTAACAGAAAAAGAGAGAAAAGCTCACAAATTGTTTAACCATATTTATTTTTCAAAAAGAAAAATTAATATCACATAGGTCTTCGCATGCAGTAGGGATCACACCCACAGCGCAAAGAGACGTCCAAACGGTGCATATTTTAAGTGGTTTCTGAACACCGTGACACGTGACACCAGACAAGATCTGGTGAGATCTGGTGTCTGTGGAGGTTGTTGGAGGACAGTGAACTCATTATGATGTTGAAGAAAGCAGCTGGAGATGATCTGAGCGTTGTGACATGGTGCATTATCCTGCTGGAAGTAGCCATCAGAAGATGCTCCACTGTGCTCAGAAAGGGATGGACATGGTCAGCAGCAATACTCAGGTAGGCTGTGCTGGTTAAACCATACCACGTTGGGACTAAGGGGCCCAAAGTGGTATGGTTTAACCAGCACAGCCTACCTGAGTATTGCTGCTGACCATGTATGATATGACCTGTATGATACTGTAGGACTTTTTACTCCAGCAATTACGTGTCATGCATATCCTTCATACAGTAAGTGTACCTTTTTTGCCTTAACATATATATAAAGCAGATGCGACACAATGCAGTCCAACTGGGATGGGAGAAGGTGTTCTTGAGGACATGGACCCAGAAGCCACGGCAGACAATATCCATACAAAGGAAGGATGCCAGTCAGTGGAAGAGTTACTGGAACCCATGTGTGGAAATGGTAATTATTTGTAACTGATTTCTTTTTAATGCCAGTGGCTACAACCCAAATGTGTTTTATTGGATTGAGATTGGTGCACAGACAAATGCTCACAAAACTAACAGAAAAAGAGTCAGCAGCAATACTCAGGTAGGCTGTGTTGGTTAAACCATACCACGTTGGGACTAAGGGGCCCAAAGTGGGACAAGAAACCCCCCCACCACCATTCCAGCAGCAGCAGCTGAAGTGTTGATGGGCGGCCGGATGGATCCATGCTTTCATGATGTATCCAGTAGATTCTGAGCCTACCATCTGAATGTGGAGCTGAAATGGAGACTCATCAGACCAGGCAATATTTATTTTCTGCATTTTTAAGAGCATTCTCTGGAATCCCTAGAGATGGTTGTGGGTGAAAATCCCAGTAATACTCAGACCAACAACCATGCCACATTCAAAGTCCCTTAAATCCCCTTTCTTCCTCATTCTGATGCTCAGGTTGAACTTCAGCAAGTCTTCTTCACCATGTCTACATGACTAGATGTGTTGAGATGCTGCTATGTGATTGGCTGGTTAGATATTTGTGTTCATAAGCAGTATCACAGCTGTATATAATAAAGTGTCCAGTGAATGTCAATACTAACACTGCTTACTGTATCCAATAGTCATGGTTCATATAAATGCTGACAAATTGGATTAAAAATTTGCCATTAAGGTACAAGATATGTATCGAGTTTTTAATCATATTGTTTTATGTACTGTAGGTGCACAGCAGATAGCAGAGAACTTCCCTGGAACTTCTTCAGCCACTTATGTCGTTATGATGACTGCAGATGACAGTATGTATTGAAATTGTACTATTCCACAGCAAAATATACATTATCCTTGCAACCACGAGTCTTATTGCCTATTGCAGAGTCTTCATATGAAAATGTTTAAGTTAAAAAATTGTAAGATAACATTTATGATGTATATGATACAGCACTTTGAGACTTGTTTCACAGAGGTTAAGTGCTTTATAAATAAAATACATTATTATTATTATAATATGAGGCTTGTGTGTCTGTATTTTTTCAGGTTGTCACTATAAGAGATGACTTTTGTAGTATTCAACCACCATATCAGATCAACTCAAAGTCGCTGAGCTTGCAAGCTTTAAGTTGAGCTGGCCAGTTGTAACAGAAATAGCCGCCTTTGAGACATTATTTTAAATATGTTTAATACTGTTGGTTGGTTGATTGATTGATTGATTACAAAGTTTACATAAAAAAATATTACATTAAATTAAAAAAACTTATCTTTTGTTTTTCCTTACTTTGTTTTTTTCTTGGTAGGTCAAGACACCTGCTGTGTCTGCCACATCCATTTTGGTGACAAGAGAAAGAATGCTACCAAAAAATGGCGTTCATGGTCACAGTGTACAGTGTGTCAGTTCTGGTCACATACTGCATGTGGCTTTAAAAGCAACATGTGCCAACACTGTCAGTGCTGAAACAACTAAAATAAATGTCTTTGTTGTTTTGTTTAAAATGTTTTTTTTTTGCATGCCTTTTGTAATCATTACACAGCATGAATTAAAGTTTTGCATTATTAAGAAGTATGGTTTTAGTAATTTCTTTACATGTTTGTTTGTATACATGTGAACGGGGTGGGCGTCGGATATTTTTGTTTTAGGGCGTGCTGTCTATGTTCAGATGTGTTTGCTCTGTGCAGTGCGTGATTGTTAAACTGATAAAAAAATAAAATAAAGATATTGTTGGAAAAAAGAAGCATGGTTTACTGTGAATTGGGGAGTTATTTGAGTTCATGTGATGCACACTTACAGAATGTTTATTTTTTATTCTGAGAAATTCCTGGAACATAAATGTTCTCAATCTCCACCACCACAATAACAATTTTTATTCACAGATATGATGGATATAAATGGTATAAATACATATGAATAGATACATGTCTACCGCTCAAATGTTTTGAGCTGTAGTGCATGTATGGATATATGCCTGTATTCCTTATTTACTGAGACTAACGTTACTTCAAATCCCCAATGAGATTAATAAATCAGACTATTGAATGGCTGCGTTCCAGTTATAAAGATAGCCGGACTTCTGGGTTTGTTTTGTTTTTTAAGGTTTATGTGGCAGCGGATAGCCTATTTAACATGACCTTACATGAATAAAGCCATATATATTTATTTATTTTAAATATGTAATATCATCCAATTAAATTCTGTACTATAAAAAACGGGATAAATGGGATTATACAGCTCTTTTATCGTACACTTCTGTACGATACAGATATTTTATCATAGACTCCCGATCCAATCCAAAGACGGTGAAAGAAATCCGACAGGTATCCATAGAGGATTTTATTTTCTTTCTTATCCACCTTATTCTGCTCAGTCTAAACAATGCGCGCTGCCATGACGACGTTGTTTAGAGCAGTATAAAGTGGATATTCCCATTGGCGGCTCATGCTCATGTCAATCTGAGACGTCATGCGGAAGTGGTAATTTATTAAACGTTTTGGCACGAATATCTTAAATAAACCGACATATTTACTTTTTGCCTCACCACAGATCATAGTAACTTAGTAAATGGCTGTTCGGCTCCACAATATGTCTGAAATATAAAGTAACTATATGTTTTCACGCCCCTTTCCCCCACAGGAAACCCGGAAGACCTACCAGCATACACCCATGTTAATTTATAAAAGATAATATATCTAAAATAATCCATCATATTCACATTTTACTAACATCTGTCATGTAGAGGCAGTGTAATCACTAGTTCGGCTATATTTGGTCTTTGATTTATGCAATAGATATATCGTTTTGTAACCCTAAAATTTCAGCTCGGTCAGACCCCACAAGAACTACAATCATGGCGCTGACATGTTTTCACCCACATGGCGCTGCCATAAGTATTTGTAGTTTTTACATAATATGATTATTTTACATCAAATTTGAATTTCCAAATATAAAATGAACAACTCATCGGATGTTTAAAGGGATGCTGAACGCAACTGCGGATTCAGATCTTAAATATGTAATTGCAAAATGGGTTAAATTGTATTTAATCCATATTTGACAGCGCCCCCAGGTGGTGGATATAACACATGAGATATTACATGACAGTTCAGGTCAAGAGCTCTCTATAACAGTTGGTCCCATGTTTTTAGCCCTTTTTGTTGTTAAATTATAAGCCTTCAAATATGCACTGAGGTCAAGGTTCAAAGGTCATTATTTCATAGAAGGAGCCCAGTAGAGTCTTCATACTGATATATATTTTTCTCCACATTAAGACCTTTTCAATGATGTATTTGGTTGAGTAAAAGCCGAAGTTTTTAATTTTTCTCATTTCATTTACAGATCCATTCAAAGGCTTACTTTGAAAGAGCATTTGCAAGACGAGTATATAGAATTAAGCGTTCATTTTTTTTTCTTATATTTTTTGGATATATATTCCAAATTTAGTCACTTTTAGAGTTTTAATAATGGTCGGAACACTAGGTCATTCATATAAGCTGGAAAGAAGGCCTGATTGGGGTTGGCACACAGTACAGTGGCTACAGAAAGTCTTCAGACCCTTTTAAATATTTCACACTTTGTTTCATTCCATTTGCTAAAATCAAAGAAGTTAATTTTATTTCTCATTAATGTACACTCAGCACCCCATCTTGACAGAAAAACCCCCACAGAAATGTAGAAATTTTTGCAACTTTATTAAAAA